TGGGAAACAGCAATTTCATTAGCCTGTTTCAGGTTAGCGACGGTCACACGAAGTTTGTTGTGCCTAACCTTCGTTATTTCGGTCACGGCAGAGAATCGCTTTGTCAGATCATCAGATATCTGAACAACATTCAAGGGTTTGTTTTTGGGCTGAAAATAGACAACCCATGGGCCAGTCGAGTCATTCGGGTAGGCCCGCAATCTGGAGCTTTTCTCAGCCTGCCCATTGTCAGACTGAGACGACGAACCATGGATGACATCATCATTTTTCTGAGATGATTGGTCATCCATGTCGTCTTCTGACAAAACATCCATTTTGTTCAACTAGTGGGAGCGCAAAACGCTCTCCCACTGAACGCACAGACACAATACACAGAAAACACTACAAACACAGAAATACAAAATGAAAATTTAACTAATGGGGGAGGAAAAAAACTTATCTGATAATTCTATACTACTACCACCGAGCGTTATATGTGTAGGCGTTTACACAGATGGCTGGAAGAGACGCGCTGCGTGGATGACCTTCGTTGTGGTGCACTTGATCGAGGCTCGGTACTCAGCGCACACAGGCGCACGATGAATGATGAACGATGTAGATGTAGGAACGGGTGCTCACACTCGATGATGATGATACGTGAGCTTGTATGCGTGACCACGCAACGATGATGCCCAAATTGGTTTGCGAATTACCAATAGCACGGATTAATCGTTCCGAAAATGACACTTTCTACTAAAAAAAACTCACTTTTCGATCAATTTACCGGGAACTATGCCAGGAGTCACTTAGTGAGAAAAAAACTGATAATTTATATCAAGCGAATACCGAGAAAACTTCCAAAACAACGGAGCGCGAAACAAGTCGACCGTACTTCTTGCTAGGACGCAGTGAGATGATTTTTGTTCATGTCTATCTAATAATTCACCATATCGGTATGCTTCAAAAGTTTTCAACTATACTTGTAGGAAATTTTCCCAGCTACTAGTTTGCTGAAGACCACTTTTTGATTAAATGCAATGATCGAAAGTTATCAATGGTTCAATGCGCTGATGTCTCAATCAACTGCTCAGCAGCCAACATTGGTGTTTCTGGGGCGTTGAATAGGACACAAAAATCATGGCTACTATGTCACACTGCAAAATACAGTGTTGCCTACAGAGCAGCTGTTTGATCTTGTCATAAGTTAACCAATCTCTTAAATAATTAATAACTTTTTGCTGTATCGTTTTACATAGAAACAATCTTCAGCAAAGTTGTAGCTGAGAATATTTTCTATAAGAATGCCTATCGAACTAATTCGCAGCTCAATATGGAATAAGACTAGAAGGCAATGAACAAAAAGTTGAGATTTCCCATAGTAATTTACATGCAAACTTCAAATGGCTTGTGCGAAGTCTGTTTCTAACCAAATGAGTTGTAACTTTGGGAGGCTAATCAGGACCCGATTTGAAACCATTTAAGCACTGTGGAGCGAAAAAGTCAAATTTTGCATCAGTTTAATGAACATGCAATGGTCCAGACTCTGGTAGAGCTTGTTTGAATTGCTTCCTCCTAAGTGCTTGATCAACTGTTGTGGCTCCAGCATTTGTTGGAAATTCGGTCCTGGCGGGTTCTTCACTAAAGTCGTTTTTACCTAATCAGCAGCCAATTATCGAGAAAAAATTACAACGGAAAAAAATAACATGGGCACAGCCTACTTTTCTCTGCTCAGAAAACATGATTTGTAAGCAATGTGACTCAAAAAAATAATATGAAAGGGTCTGGAATTGAATCCACGATTTACTGCTTTGTAAGCAAAAACGGTCGCTCTAAGCCATCCACTTTCTCATATCACAACACACGATTTTTTGCTATAACCATTCAAGCCCGATGATGGTGGCGATTTGAGAAAAGCTTTTGCATTTTCTCTTTCCTCTTTCCTCCTTCCCACAATCACGTCCTCTTTATTACTCCCCATTGTTGCTGAGCTGGTTCATATCAATCACAACCCCGTAAACGATCCACTAAAATGGAGTCGCTTGGTTCATTATGGATGATTTACTTTGCATGGTCATCCCCACCATGACTGTGGTTAATCGGTTTGGGTGAAGGTGAAAGAGGATAATCGACACACAAGCCAGGGGAGGAGAGGATAATTGGTGGATCGAAGCGAGCCGTGCTCTGCCACACGCACGGCCTGCTGCTTATCAACGGATTTCTCAGTTGAACAAACTTCTCGTCGCATCAGCCGCCCTCTTGGATGCGGAGATTTCCGCTCGATTTGCTCTGAATCAACAATTTAACTAACCCTCCCCGGTGATGTTCCCGACTTGGCTGCCACTGGAAGAACACTGACTTCTACCAAAGTACAAGTTACCTAACCTATAGACACTTCGGAGAGAATGAGTAGAGTGCGTAGTTCTGGTCCGCATAAGCTAGCAGACTAGAGACGATATCTGATTTGTAATTTAATTAACGGGTGCTCTGTCGAACGTTCGTGCACTGTAGAAGCGGGACCTTTGGCATGCCGAGTTGCATCAGCCAGCCACTCGTCGACAATGAGTTGCATTCAAGTGGTAATTTGTTCCAATCGGTTGACTTACAAAGAGCTTGTAAAGCGAACGGGACGAGCTCCTAACTAAATGATTTATGCTTTTATTACGTTTGTTGAATCCCGGAGAATCCAGTGAGGGACGAGGGGGGGGGGGGTGTACTGCTGCTACCTGACGATGGCTTCACTCACAGCCACACAATGCACACAATTTACTCCTTTGATTGAAAACAAACGCAAAGCAACTTTGTCGGACAAAAACGGGGAAAACTTTTGCAGCCGTGTTTTATTGAAAACAAACAAAAAACTGCGCGGATCCGGAGCCGGAGAACGCACAATGGTGGTCAGGAAGTAGGAATTTTCCACATTTTTCCTCAATGGGAGGCTTTTTTCTACTACTTTTATCGCTTGGCATTCCGTAACTCTTTGAGTTCGGAGAAGGAAAAAGTTATCACGTTTTGCTTGTTTGTGTGCTTGCGAAACCTTAGTTGGAATTCAAGTGGGTATTTTTTTCTTCTAGAAGTTATACAGAGCAACAGAGAAAAAAATCAGTTAAATCAAGGTAAAATATGTTTTTATTTGTTTCAGTGTCTAACACTGTTGAAGGTATAACCACAGACAAGCAGACATAACGCATTTAATATTTCTCACTGTAAAAAATCGTCACTAAAACACTACCGCCATCTGTTGAGTATACTGTCATGGGCAGTATGCTAAACAGCTGGCGGTAGAGTGCAAACGTCAAACGGAAGGAAATTGACTATGCGCGCCACAAGCGGCGGTGCTACAAACTAAGAAAAATGTAAATTGACCGGTAAATGCGTGTTTGATGAAAAATATGGTAGTGTTATGTGTGTTTTTCTGTGGTATAAGTGCACCCACAAACGACAGTCAATATTTCCATCAATATTTTAAACAATATTTCGGTGGGGTTATCAATACAGGTTCGCTCCTCACTAAATTTTTTTGTAACCGATGGAATATTCTGAGTCAAATTGCAACCATCCTGACAAAAGTTGCCGAGGAACGGGCGCATCTACTGATGTAGTCAATATTTGTATCAATATTTTCATTTTCCTCTAACACCATCCCAATAAATCCACCCACACGCTATTTCAATACTTCCCTGATTTGAGTAGGATCCATCCAGATTGATCAAAACTGAACCTACCCAAAAATGGGTGAACTAAGTTGGGACAGACAAGTCACTTCCTACTTAATTTATTCATTTTTGGGAAGGTTCAATTTTCTTCCAATCTGTGTGGATTGTGCGAAAATAAAAGAAACTAGATTGGCTCGGTATCAGACTAGAAAAACGGTTTATTAGTGAAGAAGTGCTCTTAGGTTGGCGGTCTTTATTGAATTGAACTGGCCTGGCTATTCTATACTGGTGATATAATATGTAAAGAGTCCGATTGCAAACACGACCTGCACACGAATTGTAAAAAGCCTATTGATATCCTTTCACTCACTCTATCAGACCGATAGGTGATAAGAGAGATGCGTGGTAGTGTGTACACTCTGCTAACAAATTTGAAACTGTTATAACTTTAATCCTAGGGTGTTCGTATTTATTGTTAACATAGCCGGCCTCTGTTGAAAAGTGCGGTTTTCAATATTCCTGATCTACAGCTAATTTGATTTTCAAAGAGACAGCAAAATTCATTATTCTAATTCATTTGAAATGCTGCATTAGGTTTAATGTAACTACTCTAAACTGTTGTTCTGGCACTCCTGGTCTTCGGCTCTCGCAGTCGGTGGTTGGGAATGGTGGTTACCGGCACGTCGGTTCTGACCCTGTGACACGTTGGTACGACTTGCATCGTTGTTGATCTTCACGCAACTCGTACGCTCAACAGTGCATCTTCAGGATGTTGACATCTACTTCGATCTCGGGATGGTAATCTGATTTCGTTGGACGTCGACTTCTTTCTTCGCACGATTCTTCATTCATTGGTGGTAGCATTACTAGGAGCAGGCTTCAATGTGGTAGGATACTGGACCTCGGTCGTCATTGATGGTTAGTATTTTCTTTTTGCCGTTGAACCTCGGAGCGAAGAATTGATGTAGTATCCAATGAGAGAAAAGTGTAAACCGGAACAACTCACCTTCGGACGTAATCTGTTGTGCACGATGGTATCCTGGAGCATGTTCGGCGGCCATGGAGAGTGTTCGGACTGTGAACGGTTGAATACGGAGGCCAATGAATTTGAAGCGTCAGCGATGTGGTTGAAGCGAAAGTTGACCTCCGCCACCATGGTAGTTGTGGTGTCTTCGACGAGTAGCCTTGCCAGCGTTTCACGATGCCTCCCAGAAGCCAGAAATGAACGGATGACCGGCCAGAGTAGCCAGTTTATGTGGATAAGTTAGCATTGGATAAGCATGGAACGAGAGTAAACATTAGTTTTGCATTTGATGGTTTGACGGGACAACACACACGGCACTACGGCGCCGTAGGGTTTGCAAGATGCTACATTGCAGCGAGAACATCATCCTCATCAGCACTTGCTGGCTGCTGGATAGGAAGCACGCAGACCTTGCTAATTGCACGGGTGAATTCACCATTTTTCGTCTTCACCGAGACTACACGAACATTCCCGTCATCGCCATGGAAAATTCGAACGACACGACCGAGGCACCATCTCAGTGGTGGCAGTTTTTCTTCTTTCAGGAGCACTAATGTCCCGACAGCAAGGTTATCACGCTGACGAGTCCACTTAGTACGCGGTAGTAGACCGGAAAGGTAATCCGTGCTCCAACGTTTCCATATCCTTCTTACAAATTCCTGCGTCTGCTGGTAGCGATCGAGCCGGTTCTGTGGCATAGATTCAAATGATGGTTCTGCAGCAGCAACTAGAGGACGATGTACCAAAAAATGTCCTGGCGTGAGAGCCTCAAGGTCTTCAGGGTCCGTGGACAGTTGGGTGAGTGGCCTGGAGTTGAGACAACTCTCAATCTGGACGAGTAGCGTCTCCAGATCATCCTTGTAGAGGACCGTTGTACCGATGGTTGACTTGAGGTGTTTCTTAAATGACTTAACGGCGGCCTCCCAGAGCCCGCCGAAGTTGGGGGAGCAAGGGGGTATAAACTTGAACTGAATTCCTTCTTCTACGCAATAGGAAACGATGGCATGTTGGTGCTGCTGGGATCTGAATTGCGTTAGAAGTTCGGCCAGTGCTCGGGACGCTCCTTGGAAATTTTTCGCGTTGTCACATTCGATAATTGCTGGCTTCGAGCGTCGTGCGATAAACCGTTTCATGGCAGATATGAAGGCATCGGTAGTTAAGTTTGCCACCAATTCGATGTGCACCGCTTTTGTGACCAGGCACACGAAGATGGCGACATAACATTTCACCGGAGGTGTTTTGCGTCCGATGTGACGATAGAAGAGCGGACCGCAAAGATCAACGCCGGTTTTTAAAAACGGGTACGTTGGAGTCACCCGTTCGCTGGGAAGGTCCCCCATCAGCTGCTCTTGGACGGTCGGTTTGCAACGGTAGCACTTTAGACAGCTTTGCACCACTTTCCGCGCCAAGTTGCGTACTCTCAGTGGCCAAAACTGTTCCCGAAGACTAGCGATCATCAGCTGTGGGCCAGCGTGCAGAAGCTTCTGATGGTAGTAGGTTACTACCATCTCCGTGAACAAATGGTTTGCGGGAAGAATCATCGGGTGCTTACGATTTTCTGGAACCAGTGCGTTATGCAGACGGCCACCCACCTTGAGCACTCCATCATCTAAAATGGGGGCCAGTGTCTTCAATTTTGAGTTGCGGTTAACTTCACCACAGACTGCTACGGCTTGCATATCTTCTTCTAACGACTCCCTTTGAGCGATCCGAACGAGGACCTTCAGTGCTTTGTTGTATTCACTTGTACGGAGAAAACCAGTTCTTCGTTCGCGATGCATCCGTTGCTTGCAATTGTGACAAAATCTCAAGAGATATTCGTTCTTGCACGAACAGTTTAGCGACTACTATGATGGGTCCTAGGAAGCCTGGAGGGTCAAACAGACTGGCAGTATCGGAAGCAACAATCCGTTTGGTAATGTGATGGTTTTCCTTCCATTTCGGTACGTGGAAGCCCAGGACATCCGATGCGGGTTCCCACTTCAGACCTAGCGTTTTGATCGAAGCTCCTGGATCCAGTCCTAGGACGTTGCGTTCATCTCGCAGCGGTTGAGGAATGTGGGCAAGAATCTCTGGAGAGTTCGACGACCATTTTCGTAATTGGAATCCAGCAGAGCCCAAAAGCTGGAGTAGTTGGGTACACAAGATCTTCCCAGCCTCTACGTCGTTACATCCCGTAAGCAGATCATCCATGTAGAAGTCCTTGCCTACAACTTTAGCGGCGTAAGGGTTCGAGTAATGACCTTCCTTGGAGAGTTCGTACAAACATCGCGTAGCCAGATATGGGGCCGAAGAGGTTCCGTAAGTCACCGTCGTTAGCTCGAAGATCAGAATCGGCCCCGAAGGGTCATCTCGCCAGAGTATCCACTGAAGACATTGGAAGGCAGGATTCATCAGGATTTGACGGTACATTTTTTCTATGTCCGCAATAATGACGTACCTATGAATTCGCCATCGCAGAATTAGGGATACAAGATCATCTTGCACCACTGGCCCTACCATAAGCGTGTTATTCAGGGAAATGCCAGTATCAGTGGCGCAGGAGGCGTCGAACACGACACGAAGTTTAGTGGTCAAGCTATCAGGACGTTCGATACAGTGGTGCGGAAAATAGTAGGGAGTATACTGGGTTGGTAGCTTGATATCTGTAATCTCTTTCATGTGTCCCAGTAGACGGTATTCTTCGATAAAAGCCGAGTATGCAGATTTGAGCTGAGGGTTGGTTTGTAAACGGCGTTCCAACGACAGAAAGCGGCGTTTGGCGATTTCGTAGGAGTTTCCCATCAGGGATATAACGGACGGTTTTATCGGAAGTGCTACCATGAATCGACCAGAGGTGTCCCTTGCAGTCGTTGCGACAAAGTGAGCCTCGCAAGTGGATTCTTCTACTGACATGGTACTAGAGGACTGACAAGCTTCTAACTCCTAAAATCTGGATAGTTTCTCATCGAAATCTTGCGTACACACGTGGACGATACTAACTATCTCCGGTTCGGGTCGGCTGACCCCAGCCCTGCCAGAAACAACCCATCCGAGCAAAGTATTTTGCAGCACTGGTTGTCCCGCACCGAGGCGGATAAATCCATCGAGAAGAAGGTCATAGTAGCTATCGACTCATATAATCATATCTACTACCCCTGGTTCATTGAATTGGGGATCAGCAAGCACGATGTCATTAGGCCAATGCCACTCAGGGTTGCTTCCACTCACTTGCTATAAAATAATATTTTTCGGAATTTAGCAAACATTATATGTTATAATGGTATGTTCTTCTTTTAAATAACAAAAAGAGGGTGTAAAGTATGTGTTTGACTCATAAAACCTGTCAATTTCGCTTTCAGAGCGTCACAATCAGCGATCTTATCATTCGTGAGCGTTCACTCTGAGTGAGCGCTCACGAGTCGTAAAATTGCTGATTGTGACGCACTGAAAGCAATATTAACAGATTTTATGTGTCAAACATATACTTCATGAGCTCTTCTTGTAACTAACAAGTACTAATTTACATTATACTATTGCATGCTTTCATAATTCTGAAAAACATCTTTTTATAGCAAGTGAGTGGAAGTAACCCTGATGCCACTCAGTGACTTCGATGTTGTTTGAAGGCAGCTCACGTGTCACAGAACTCAGCACGTGAAACTTCAGCTGTGTACGGTAGTTGCAGCAATGTGACTGGATCTCGGCTGTGATGGAGTGGGTAGACACAATGGTAGACTGTCCGATACCTCCGATGGTGTGATGATCTTTGACCTTTGACAGCTGCAATCGTTGAGCTAAGTTCTCCGAAATGATGTTCAGCTGTGAAGCAGGATCGAGCAATGCTCTAGCCCACATAATATTCCTAGAAGATCCGACGACCTTTACAAGAGCCGTTTGCAGCAACACAGTTGATGGGATTCGATGAAAGTTGGTAGCCAAGGAGGTGGAGCAATAACTGAGCGAACCAGTGGCTAACTGTTGACTTTCAACGGGAGGAGATTGCGAGAAAGTCTTATTTGCGTTTGGTGGAGCCGTTTGAGCGGTTTGGAATTGAGATTGAGTCTGACTTGTGGTTGGTTGGTTTTGGTGAAGCTTAGAAACATTTGGATGGGCCGAATTGCGAATTGGAGCTTGCTGGTGGAGCATCGTGTGGTGTTTTTGATTGCAAACACGACAGGCGCCAGATGAACAGTTCTTAATTTGGTGATCCGTTGATAGACAGTTAATGCAGAGAGACCTTTTCTTCACCAAATCGAAACGTTCAGGAACGGACAGCTTGCGGAACATTTCACATTTGAAAGCCCACACGACTTCAAGGTAGAACTGATGACGGAATGTACGCTGCTAACCTTTGATTTCTGCACCTTTACAACATCCGATCGTGACGCTTCAGAGGTGCGTGGCTTTCCAGGAGCGATGGACTGCAAAACGATACAATGACTGCGCAAGAACTCGATTAGCTGTTCGTGTTGGGGAACCTCTGTGGATTTGTGGTGATTCTCCCACTGTTTCAAAGTTGACGTATCGAGACAAGAGCAAACGATGTACGCTAATAATACACTCCAACCCGCCGTATCAATGTTCATTTTTTGAATCATTTGCAGGTTCCGATCGAAATCATCTATGAGCCGAGATAGAGATTCGTAGCTTTCTCTTTTTAGAGGTTCCACGGAAAGAAGAGCGTCTAAGTAGGTTTTGACCACCAACTTTTTGTTATCGAAACACCTGGCTAGCGTTTCCCAGGCTATAGGGTAGTTGGCTTCGGTTATGTCAATAGCCTCAACAACCCGTTTAGCTTCCTTGGTTAGAGATGCGACAAGATACGAGAACTTATCCACATCCGATAGGTTAGGGTTGGAATCAATAAGACTTTTGAAAGTGTCTCGGAATGTCAGCCAATCAGTGACTGATCCATCAAACGAAGGCAGCTTAACTTCGGGGAGCTTTATCCTAGCCATCTGATTAGTGCGACTAGGATTTGAGTTAGCAGCAATTACTTCAGTACTGACGGACGGCGTTGCGTTAGTCATGCGTTCAGCATTGATCAAGAACCCTTTTACCTTCACGTAGCCCTTTTCGAATTGCTCACGTATTTTGCGACTGGCTTCTTCATCATTAGCTGCGGTAGCCGAATCAGCATCTTGCAGCAGATCGATCTGCAGACGGATCTTCAAAAAGTTCTCGAAAAGTCTCTCCAAACGATCCTTCCACCCCGCGATTTGCCCTTTATCCCGATCTTCGTTGTAACCATCGACAAATTTAACCACGTTGTTTAGCGTATCGAAACAGAAACGCTCTTGTTTGCTCAATGCTCTTAAATCGGCAGGCATATAGGAAAATGTCATTGTTCCTATTGCCAGCAGTCCACGAGACTTTAACCACCACCTCGTGTTAGTTCAGTTAGCATATATGCTCAAATTCTCGGAAATACGCTCACTATTTGTCCGCAATTTATTCCCAAATAATCAAATCTGTCAGTAGGTGGGTTAGTCGCATGCTTCTACTCGCTTACCTCATCAATTACCGTCAATTGGTAATGTGGTGCCCGACGTCGAGTGATCGCCCTTTGTCAACCCGGCTATTATCTTCAGGTCCTATTGTATGGATCCAAGCCACGCCAACTGCTACACACGCGGTTGATTCCAGCCAAGCCTTGGTGCCACCCTCCTTGGTCGCTGTGTGGTTGCGCTTTGGCCAATTTTACCCAACTGTAACTCCTTTTCCGGTCCACGCGGAGAACACTTTGCCAATTTTAATTCTGTTCATGTTCTATAGATGGGATTGTATCACTAGCTAGCACTGTGAGCTTGCTCCACTTTAATGTCCACGGCACTTACAACGATGACGTTCGAGGTACTTATACTTTCGACCGACGCGAAACTAACTTCACGAGAAACCTTTCTCGCGAACCGAAAACTATGCAATTATACCGACGCCAATCATCCGGTTCGAAGGACCATTTAATGTGCGAAAATAAAAGAAACTAGATTGGCTCGGTATCAGACTAGAAAAACGGTTTATTAGTGAAGAAGCGCTCTTAGGTTGGCGGTCTTTATTAAATTGAACTGGCCTGGCTATTCTATACTGGTGATATAATATGTAAAGAGTCCGATTGCAAACACGACCTGCACATGAATTGTAAAAAGCCTATTGATATCCTTTCACTCACTCTATCAGACCGATAGGTGATAAGAGAGATGCGTGGTAGTGTGTACACTCTGCTAACAAATTTGAAACTGTTATAACTTTAATCCTAGGGTGTTCGTATTTATTGTTAACATGGATAATACTCAAATTTGGGTAGTTTTGAAACAGCATTCATGAAACATTTATTAATTGTGTTGTAAATCAACTTGTCTGCATTAAAAATGCAACCGAAATTCAAAATTCCATCAATTTTAGTGCACTGGAACACGCAGAATAAACACTCAGGCGTAAATTAACAAAACATTTTGTTATTTTTTAATACAATATTTATGTTTGATTCAATTCATAAAAATGTTTTAAATATATGCAGCACTCCATTTAAATCAAACTGATAAAATTGTTTGAACTGCATGTGTCAAACTGTCAGTCTGTGTCGGCATGCATTTCATGAAGATCGTCACATGTTTTCAAATGTGTTTCGATCAGGAGAACCAGGTAGGTGGAAGGTGAAACTTTCAAAATAAGCATTTACGAATCTTCTATTATTTCA